ATTAGAGCCGCTGGGAGAATTAGGGGTCCCGGGAGAGGGAGGGGAAGAGGATCGCACAGCAGGAGATAACTGCGAGGATCCATTTTGGGGACAGGGAGGAGGGGACGGATAAAAGACCGGGGGTACCTCTTCCAGTGGATCATGAGGGCAGGAGGGGAGAGTTTGTGGTGCAGCAGAGTCAGCTGAAAATATCTGAGCAGGCCTACATGATTTAGTGAGAAAGGGGCACGTACTCAGAGTGAGGAAAGCCTGTATATAGGGAATTTCTGTTTACTCATCACCAGTTTGACAAAAATCATATAAATTTTTGAGAATACAGGGGTCAGATGTCCCCTGTTTGGGCCATGGGCTGCCGTTAAGTGGGTAGGTCGGCCAAGCCTCCTGGCAGTAAAAGATTGTTTAGTTTTTATGGTTCTTTTAATTTTAAGAGTACTCAGATTGGGGCTGGGGATTTAGCTCAGCGGCATAAGCGCCTGCCTTGCAAGTAGGCAGTCCTGAGTTTGATTCCTGGTACTGAGAGAATCGACTCCCCGTTTGTGATGTAACCCCCCTCCCGAGCTATAGAACAGAGCTGTAAGGAATGTCTCACTCCCTAATTCTTCCTTGAGATATCGGAGCAGGACAGGAAGGAATACATTTGCTAGTCATTAACCACAAGATGTTCTGTCCTCTGTAAAGGAAAAGATAAGTAAAGAAATGTGCTGTTCAAACGAGACCGAGTTATACCTGGCACTCTGAGATCAGACCAGGACCCTCAGTCTCCATGGTTACTCAGCCCCAGACCCCTCGAATCAGCATCTGCCAAGTCCTGCGCTGTTCAAAATTAACCAATGCAATTTGCTTCTGTAAACCTGCTTGCTTCCCGCTTGTGCCCTTAAAAACCCTACACAGATTCCCCTTGGGGCCCTCCACACTCGTTTGCCTGGAGGACCCCATGCACATGAAAATAAACTTTTTTCCCTCACCAAGAGTTGAGTCCTTGGGGGCTCTTTCCCTGCGGCGTTGGCCCTAACAGTACCGATAAAAAGGAAAAAACAAAAAACAAACAAACAAAAAAGAATACTCAGATTGGAAATCAAGCATTGCAAAGGTATCTTTTGGGAAGTAGAGAAAATGTTTCCCATGGCTAAATCTCAGGCAAGAAATGGGCTGTAGTCCAAAGGTTGGGCCATCACCCATCCTTTGGGACAAATAGTTAGGGTTAGGGTTCCAAATCTCGTATTTCTCAGTCATCACTGAGAGATCCACGAGTGGATTTGTCATGGGTTTTAGTAACAGTTGTGCCCATGAGAGCTTAAAGCTCTGAAGGACATGAGAGCCTTTCAGTGTGAACCTAGAGGGGTACAGAAACACTCTGCCTTGGGCTGTCTAAGGACATGACAGCCACACAAGAACTCACGGAAAGGGGGAGAAAACCTGCCTGGGGCCTAGCCCAGTGCCAAGAATTCTCCAGAGTTTGCTCACCTGTGATAAGTTGGGCCAGTGTTGTTTGGGAGTGGTTGGTGACAAATTAAGCAGTTTCCATGAGTTGAAAAGTGAAGAATCAATCCAGTATGTAATCTGTTTCGTGAATCAGCATGGGACTCAAACTGGGGGGCCCCAGGAGTCAATTGCCTGCCGATCGAGTCAGGGCACAAAATGATAAGATTATACTGCATCCAAAAGATGAGAAGTATAAAACAAAAGAGGCCTTTATTCTGAGAACGTGGAGAGAGAAAACAAAAAACCCTCTGACCACTGGAGTCTGGCTTTCTCTCTGGTGGACACGTGGAGTGGGGGTATATAAGTAGCCTAAGTTTGGGGTGGAACCTAAGGGGCATTAGTGATGCACAGGTAGCCTATTGGCACTCATGTGGTGCCAGGGGTAAATTCCTAGGGGTGTGGAAGATGGAGCTTCTTGGTTCTGCCTGAGGCTTTATTGGCTACCGTGTCCTGTCTGGGCCAAAACTCTTTCAAACATATTTCTATTTCTTGATGTCCCTCACTCTCCTTTTCCAGCAGACTGTACTTTTCATAGTAGGGTTTTCACTGCTTTGTTTAGGGTAATACTAAGCATTCAGTTTTCTTCACTTTATTATGAATAGTATTGTTTTGCTAATTGGTAGTTTCATAAATTAGGTGTATAATAATTCTACTGATATTTTTGTTTTGATTTTGTATCATACTACTGAATGTAGTTATTCATTTTGTGAGTCTTTGGTTTTTTTAGATCTTCTCTGTAGAGAAACACATAATTCCTAAATAATGATAATTTGACTGTTTCCTCTTCTATCCATGTAGTGGTTGATTGATTGTGTCAACTTGAGACATTTAGAAGCTTAGCTAAATGGTTTTAGCGACTCTACAGCCAAGGGTGTAGAAGAAGAAGACCCGCCCCCCTAGGGTGGCTGATCACCTGGAGGTACAAAAGGGCAGGAGGAAGGAGGAACCCGTTCCGCTCTTGGGAGAAGCTCCAGCCTTCACCTTTGGCTTGGTCTCCTGGCTTCCAGCGTAGACTGTTCAGTCTTTCATCACAGAGCCTTTGGCCTTCTGTCGCAGACCCATCAGCCTGCTGGTGTGGACTTGCAAGAGACACTAGGGTGAGCTCCAGACCTTGGATTGTAACCCCCTCTGCACGCTTCCTCATCGGACTCTGTGCCTGACATCGCAAGCCAACCTTGTTATTTCTTTTACATCTTTTCTCTCTACTAAAACCCTGACTAATACCATCCATCACCCTCCTTTTTCATCTCTTCCAAAGTGGTTCTGGCTAAAATCTTAAGAAGTATATTAAACAGGGTTCTCAGAGGGCACCTCCATTGTCTTCTTACTTTTTGAGGGAATGCTTTCAGTGGCTTCCACTTAATGTGATATTGACAGTAAGTGTCTCATAAATGACTTTTACTAGACATAATGAAGGTCATTCTATACCTATTTTTCAAAACATTTTGCTTCATGACTGAATATTCAATTTTTTAATACAGAATTTTTGTCTACTGACATAAATTTGTCATGTTTTAATTCGTTAGTCATAATTTTTTCAGAGGAGGAAGAGTCTATTGAAAGGCAGCCACGTCCTTATTGCTCCTGACTTAAACCCTCGGCCTCATCTTCCTTTGATATAAGTTACCTCTTCCCTGTTTTCTCCTCCCTTATTGCATGGGCTAAACTGTTGAGGAGTATATTTAAAACATTTCATAGTGAACATTCTTGTCTTAAGTTTTAATAAATGCTTACTGTTATTTCACACTTCATGTAAAGCCACTATTATTTTGCATAGGTAAATTTTACCAGATTGACATAAGGTCTTTATTTACATTTCCTCAAAAATTTTTATCTTGAGTGAATATTGGATTTTGTGAAAGGCTTTTTCTACATCTATTAAGATGATTGTGTGTTTTCGTTTGTCACAAAATTATGCATTTCTGCTTTGCTATTTATACTTCCCTTCCATGTATGAGCTCTGTGTTTGGGTGTCCTTGTTTTTCTAGGACCTTGATGTGTGTGATTAGTTTATTTACATGGACCCACTGGTTTTCTGATGTGGACATTTATAACCATAAGCTTCTCATGCAGCCTGTGTGTCCATCCCATGAGACTGCAGATTTGGGGGGGGGGTCTTTTTCCTTTTTATCAGTACCGGGGATTGAACTCATGACTGCCTCCTTGCAAGGCAGGCACTTATGCCGCTGAGCTAAATCCCCAGCGAGACTGCAGATTTGTTGACTTCAAGATCTCTAAGATGCATAAAATTAATCATATGCCACAATTTGAATTTCATGCCAGTGACATGGAAAGCACATATGTCAACATGTGCTCATCAGCATGGGAGAAACGATCACTATGAGCTTTGTGACTTTGGTGAAGACCAGTGTTGTGTGCATTCACATTTTCTCTTAATGACTGCAGGAAATGCTGGGAAGAGAAGAAACAATGATGAAATGCAGTAGATAATCCTATTAGTAGTGAGTAAATCATAGCACAAAACTGAAGGAATAAACTAAGCACAGACTCTTATTGTTACTAAAACACAGGTCTTTTAAAAACTTTTTAGACAAGGTCTTACAATAGTCAGTTGGGCCTTGAACTCACCGTGTAGTGAGTTAGTCTAGAAGTCACTGCATTTCTCCCGCCTCCGCCTCCCACGTGCCACAATGCCTGGCAGATACAGGGTTTACCTAATGCTAATGCACTGAGCTTCAGCGGGAGCTTTTCATACTTTATTTTTGCTCAGATTCCACTGCGTTGCACTGGCTGTCCTCCTAACCCCAGTTTGGTTTTAATCATGGAACTCATTTGTGCTTGAGTAGCAGGATTACAGACATAAATTGCTGGTACTACTACTATTTTCTTGATTGTAAGCTGGGAGAAAATAAATATGCTCAGGATAAAATGACCTCTATTTGTATTTTTGCTTTGGCTGCACTAGAAGGGTGAGTTAGGTAATACTGTGATGCAAAGAATTAGGAATGAGCCACAGTAAAACTACTCACACATGCAAGTGTTTAAATGCAGTGGTATATTCTGCAGACAGTAGAGTCATGTCACACATGAGACATTCAATATTTCATTAAAAGACATAAAATTCTTCCCTGGAGTGATGCTGAGTGCCTATAATGCCCACACTTGGGATGCTGAAGATTGCCACATACTCAAGGCCAACCTGGGCTACAAGGTGAGACTCTATAAACATAATTAAGTGAAGGCGAGGTATAATTTTCCTAAAATTAGCTACTGTATTTGTCATTTGTGCTTTGACCTATCATTACTGGACTGCAACCCCATTGTGAACTGAGCAGCCACTGAACTGCAGGAGAACACAAAGCAGGGTATTTTACAAAGCCCTGCAGTACAAGGAAAACAAGTCACAATACCAGATGGTGTCACCCTGACAGCTTGCACAAGTCTTACGCAGTGGAAGTAACATCATTTCCTTCAGTCATCAGACAGTGGTGTCACTGACTGCAAATACTATGTAATTATCTTTAAATTGGATAAAACAACACAAATGAATCACAAAATTACTCAATTTCTCTTTTAATAACTGATTTGAGCTTCCCAGGTTAAAAATTATTTCCAAACTACAAGTGATATTTGTGGCATCAGAAAAAGAGCGAAGCATCTGGTTAATTATAAAAAACAGAAACCATCCTATCAAAGCAAACATCAGTATGGTCAAAATTCCTGAGATGTTTTTGCAGACAAATCATATCATCATTAAGGAATGTGGAGAGGCTCTCATTATAATACATTGTGCCTTCATCGAGAAAATACATGGTCCTGCTGGTCTCTGGCAGTGGGGGACTCATAAAAATAGAGATTCTTTGGATGGTATATTGAATAATTAATTCAAAAATAAATCACACCAATATGAGCCTAAAAAGTAAAATTGAATGACAAAAGCAACTCATTTTGTAGACACATGATATCTATATATACACTGCCTATGATTTGTAATCATGTACTTACATTTAAAAACATTGCTGATTTACACATTGTTTGAAACAGATGAACTCTTAAAAACATGTACAGAAGTTATTAGTATTAAAGTTATAATCTATGATATCCATTGAAAGATACTAAAACAGTGCCCGGTGTGCAGCAAAGTTTAAATACAAACTAGGAGGACAATGACAACAGTTGAGGCAAATTCAGCTTTAGTCATGTTACAGCACAGTTACTAAGAGCAAAAGGAAACAAAAAGCCCCACAAAATAAGCAACATATTGGCATGTACAGAAACAGAAGTCACTTAACCTGTAGCTCTAACAGCACAAAATGAAGACAACTATCACCTACTTGAAGAAAAAAAAATACTAATCTCCTGTGCTGCTGCTTATAAAGAGAATTATGTGAATACAACATAGACGTTTAAACATACACTTTTAAAATAACTTCAAGTTATTTAATCCAGAAATGTACTTTAGGACTGAGTTTACAGTGTTTATACTTTAGAATATCTCCTCCTTATGTGTATTTTCCAGAGAAATAACTGGTATCTTTTATATAATTTATTTTCAGGTTTAAACTACGTAGAAAGTGATCAAAGGATTAGGAGAATTATAGCTGAACCATTGTACGTCCAGCAGTAGACACAACACTCACTGTAGACGCAATGCAACCCTGACGGGTATACGTCAGTTACCTGAACGTTTGGTGACACTGCTGCAGCTACTCGCCCCATAGATTAAACCAAAACAAGTACAGTGTTCCCACATAATGGGCATCCTATGAACTTCTCTGCCACGCCACGCCAGGTTTAAAAAACATCTTGTAGTAATGAAGATTCCTCACATTCTGTATTTCTACTAACTCTCCTAAATATGTAGGTTTTGACGTTACTGGTATTGATGAATTCTCATGTTGCTCACCCAGGGTTTCCCTTTAGTGGAAGTTCTTTCATGTATTTCAAGGCTATTGGAATGGAAGAACATAAGTAATGTCTTTTCAATTCTTTCATATTTTCTCTGTTGATAAAAAAAATTCCTACATAGCTCACACTTGTTCTGAGCCTTTTCACTATGAAATTTTTCATGTACTTAGTGATACAAGTTGGACTAAACAGGCTTTACTGTTTACAGGAAAAGGTTCTACCCCATCCAATGCATGTCAGTATAAATCACTTTCTATGCTCAGATTTTATTCTCCCTTTTGAATGTCTGTTTCTTACTGAAGAGAAGCCTTTTGCTTGTTTACAGTCTTTCTCCCAAGAGGAATTTTTCAGGTATTTGAAAAATCCCTCTGTGTACTGACTGCATTCTCACATTGCTTACATACACAGCATTTGACGTGTGTCTGTCCTGTCTTGGAAAAACATTGCGTGCTGAAAGCTTTTCCACAATGTCTACACATGCTGGGTTTCTCCAGTTTGAGTCCCTTTATGTATTTTCCTATGATGTTTTATACTAAAAACTTCCCCAGTTTATGACATAGGGATTTTCCCCAGTGTGAGTTCTGTTATGTACTAGACTATGACTGTATGTACTAGGCTTTCTGTATAGCTTACACACATAGGATTTCTCTGCAGTGAGTCTTCATGTACTGGGCAGTAATGTATTTTGCTAGCTTTCCCACATTGTTTACATTCTTAGGGTTTCTCCCCAGTGTGAATCCATTAATGTAGTTTAGAATACCTTCTTGGCCTAAAGTTTTCCCACATTGCTAGCGAAGTTTTTACCCAGCATAATTTTGTTCATGCATTTCCCAATAAGCAATGGCTGAAAGATTTTCCACACTGCTTACATTAACCCGCTTTCACTATAGTGAGTCTTCTTATGTTTCTGCCAATTATCTTTTCGGCTGAAAGCTTTCCCGCAGTGCACACACACATAGGGTTTTTCTGCAGAATGAGTCCCTTCATGATTTTTCCATCTATCTTTTCTGCTGAAAGCTTTTCCACATTGCTTACATACATAGGGTCTCTCACGAGAGTGAGTCTGTTTATGTATTCGCCAACTATCTAGTGTGTTGAAAGCTTTCCCACATTGCTTACATACAAAGGGTTTCTCGTCAGAGTGAGTCCTTTCATGTGCTCTAAGACAACTGGAAGCACTGAAAGCTTTTCCACATTGCTTACATTCATAGGGTTTTTCACCAGTGTGAATCCTTTCATGTGTATTACAATCCTTCTTTGTATTGAAAGCTTTCCCACATTGCTTACATTCATAAGGTTTCTCACCAGTGTGAATCCTTTCATGTACTTTACAATCCTTATTTGTGCTAAAAGCTTTCCCACACTGCTTACATACATAGGGTTTCTCCCCAGTGTGAGTCCTTTCATGTATACGAATATAACTGTACGTGACAAAAGCTTTCCCACATTGCTTACATACATAGGGTTTCTCTGCAGTGTGAAATTTTTCATGTACTTTACAATAATATTTTGTGCTAAAAGCTTTCCCGCATTGCTTACATATGTAAGGTTTCTCCCCACTGTGATACCTTTCATGTTTTTCACAATAAGCACGTGTGCTGAAACCTTTTCCACACTGCTTACATGTATAGGCTTTCTCTGCACTGTGACTCTTTTCATGAACTTGACAATAACTTTTTGTGCTAAAGGCTTTCCCACACTCCTTACATATATAGGGTTTCTCAGCAGTGTGACTTCTTTTATGTATTTCACATTCAGCACGTATACTGAAAGCTTTCCCACAGTACTTACATACATAGAGTTTTTTCACAGCGTGACCCCTTTCATGGTTTTGCCAACTATCTTTTCTGTTGAAAGCTTTCCCACATTGCTTACATATATAGGTATTCTCTGCAGTGTGACTCTTTTCATGGTTTTGCCAACTATCTTTTCTGCTGAAAGCTTTCCCACATTGCTTACATATGTAGGGTTTCTCCCCAGTGTGAGTCCTTTCGTGTACTCGAATAAGACTGTATGTGATAAAAGCCTTCCCACATTGCTTACATACATAGGGTTTCTCCCCAGTATGATATCTTTCATGTATTTCACAGTAAGTACGTGAGCTGAAAGCCTTCCCACATTGCTTACATACATAGGGTTTGTTTGCAGTGTGAGTCCTTTCATGTACTTGACAATAATTTTTTCTGCTAAAACCTTTCCCACATTGCTTACAGATATACGGTTTCTCTGTAGTGTGAGTTCTTTCATGTACTCTAATATGACTGTATGTGCTGAAAGCTTTTCCACATTGCTTACAAACATGGGGTTTCTCCCCAGTGTGAGTCCTTTCATGTATTTGCAAACCATCTTTTCTGCTAAAAGCCTTCCCACATTGCTTACATATAAAGGGTTTTTCTGCAGTGTGAATCCTTTCATGGTTCTGACAACTGTCTTTTCTGCCAAAAGCTTTCCCACATTGCTTGCAGGCATAGGGTTTCTCCCCAGTGTGAATCCTTTCATGTACACGAATATGACTGCGTGTGATGAAAGCTTTTCCACATTGCTTACACACGTAGAGTTTTTCTGCAGTGTGAATCCTTTCATGTACTTGACAATAACTTTTTGTGCTAAAGGCTTTCCCACATTGTTTGCATACATACGGTCTCTCTCCATTGTGGCCTCTTTCATGTAATTCACAATAAGCACGTGTGGTGAAAGCTTTTCCACAATGCTTGCAAGTATAGAGTTTCTTTACACTGTGAGTATTTTCATGTTTTTGCCAACTATCTTTCCTACTTAAAGACTTCCTAAATTGTTTACACACATACGGTTTATCCCCACTGTGAGTTCTTTCAAGATTACCCAATGAATTTTTAGTGTAGGATTTTCCATCATGTTTATGTGCATGGGTTTTTCCTCCAGAATGGTTTTTTTGATGTGTCTGAGTATCGTGGAGAGAACTGAAATGTTTTTCATGTGGTCCACATATATGCATATTCGCTTCTCTGTGACTTCTTTCCCCAGTTTGACTACTGGTGGATAAAATGGATGATCTGTCACCAGGTTTCTCTTTAACGGTACTTTCATTAGTGCAATCAGAGAAGGACTTTGCACATGGCATATACTCATGGAGATTTTCCTCAGGACTTGACTTTGCATATCTCTGAAAGGACCGGAGTTTTGTGCAAGTTTTCCCATGTTTGTTACAGGTAGATAGCTTCTCTTGAAATCTGAACTGTTCGTATGGTTTGAGAGCTGTGTCAGCCACAGTGGGCTCAGCTCCTGATGAATGACCAGCCTGGGGCCTTCTACAGGAAAAGGAAATGCTTTCGCCTGGTTGTATTCCAGCTACTGTCATGTGCACAGTTGCATCTGGAGTCCGAGAAAGCATTTCTTGAAGTTGGTACCATAATTTACATGGACAGGTTTGTTGTTCCTCTTCCTTTCTGAAAAGAGAAGGGTAACAAAACAACTGATCACGTTTAGTGTCCTTTAGTAATGATTCACCACGAGGAGACTTGCTTGGATGCCTGTGAGAATATTTAATCATCCACTTACTGCACACTCTGCTTGATGGCTTGGAGACAGCCTTTACCCAAAGAAAGGATTTTTTTTTGGGGGGGGAGGTTTAATCAATCTGGTCAAAACATACAGTATACACTTTCATTTGGAGGAATCAGAATCACCCCCTCCACAATGTCTGTCTCTCTCTTTCCCATCATCTGTTTACTCCTTAATTCAAGAGCTGGGATTCCCATGCAAAATATAACTTGTCACAATGAAATTTCTGTCTGATTTAATCTAATATTATGGGCACTAGATCTCTGCATACTCTGCAAAATGACATCACTTTATTCTTTTCTGGTTTTTGGTACCAAGGATTGAATTCATGGTCTTGCACTTCCCAGGCAGGCACTTGCGCTGCTGAGCAAAACCCCCAGCCTGATACTTTCTTTCTTGTTTTGGTACCAGTGATCACACTTAGGACTACACATTTGCCAGGCAGGCACTTATGCCGCTCAGCTAAATCTCTGGCCCTATCACTTTATTTTTTTGTAGGTGATACTAAGCCATCAAGTGTACACATTGCATGGTTTTTAGTGCTTGAAACTAAACCAGGATTTAGTACTCAGATCGATGTAAGGACTTTTTATTTTTCTTTTGAAACAGTCTCATCAATAATTATGTTGCCCAGGCTCCGTTTCAATGCATGATCTTTTGCCTCAACTTCCCAAAGAGCTAGAACCCCAAGCATGCCCCTCTATGCCTGGCTATCCCATATTTCCTTCATCACCTCGTCTGCCAATGGGCATGAAGGCTTTTTCACAGCTCAGCATTTTGAAGTGGTGCTGCTAAAAACAGGTACTTATGCATCAGTGTAATATGCTTACTTTACATTTATACACACAGTGAAAGTACAGCTGGATAAAACAAAATGCATACTTTCCTTTTATGGCGCAGTAAGATTTGCATAGACGTTGCAACACACTGACAGGCCCTTCCACAACATGGGAATGTGTCTTCCGATATTCTGGAATATGAATGGACTGTGTGCTTTGGGGGGCTGCTTGAAAATAACTACGATCAAAACAGTGGCCTTCACATGGATTTTCAAGACCTCCACAAATCACAAATTTTCAATATTAAATATGTATTATCACACGGAACTGCTTACAGTATCTTACATGATTTCTGACATCAAAGTGGACTTTTAAAATCACATGTCTGTATAATTAGTGCTCAGTGTGTACACAAAGTTTGTTTTAGATGTTCCTGTCCTCGGTGCCAGAGTGCTACTGCTTTTAAAATAGCTGTAACTTAGAGCATAGAACGTAATTCACTTGCTCTTTTTTGTTTTCTGAGACAGGATCTCACTATAACACCAGCTGGCTCTGAACTCACTGTGTAGCCCAGGTGACCTGGAAATTTTTTTTTTTTTTTTTTTTTTTTTTTTTGGTCTTTTTCTTTTTTATCGGTACCGGGGACTGAACTCACAACTGCCTGCTTGCAAGGCAGGCGCTTATGCTACTGAGCTAAATCCCCAGCCCCATGACTTGGAATTTGCAGTAATTTTCTTTCAACATACCTAAGTGTAGGGACTATAGGTGGGTGCTACCATGCCTGGGTGTTTCACTAAATTAGACCAAAGATCTTCCTTCTGACACAATATCTGCACCACTTATATTTCATATATTAGAATATTCAAATAATCAATTGTCAGAAAAGAGATGGTCAACATGCGTAAGTTATTGAAAAATTTGGTGAGATTTAAAAATCTTGAACATAGTCTTTCTCTTTTTTTGGCTTGAGTTTATTCATGTATCTTATGACACCCGCTTGGCTACCTTTAAGGTTAAAGCTTATTTATTTATTTTTGGTACTGGGGATGGAACTCACGATGACGTCACACTTGCCAGGCAGGCGCCTAGATGCTGAGTGAGCTAAATTCCAATCCCTGTTTGCTTGGGTTTAATACTTGGGTTTAATACTCGATACTGCAGGCACATTCTTCTCATGAGTACAAATTACCTGGGAATTTTTCTGCAATTTTTATTCTCATCTTCAATGCGCAGGTCATCTGAGTTTCTTCCTAAAAGGTAGACATAAAAATATAATGATGACTTATGAAAAACAGATTCCTGGTAAGATGTAACCAGGCCTGGAACATTTGTCACAGCGTTTCCATCTCCCCATGAAGGAAACTGAACTGGTGAGCACCACCCAGTGCTCTCTGAGTGCATAAATGAGAAAATGGTATTTGCTTACCTAGGGCTGCCAGGTTCTTAAAGGTTTCCCACATCACATCTCTGTAGAGCTTCTTCTGGGATGGATCCAGCAAAATCCACTCCTCCCTGGTGAAGATGAGAGCCACGTCCTCAAAGCTCACTGCCTCCTGCATCAACAGACATGGATTTCTAGGAACAAGAGTGAGATCTACAACATGAAACATCTCAGTTCTACTTATAGGAAGCTGACATAAGGTTGAGTTTTCCAAATGTTTACTTCACGTCGTGGTCACCAAACACTCATTCTCCATCATTTGCCCCTCACACGGGTAGCTATAGACTGCACAGGAATTCAGTGCCACAGCAGCAGTGGAATGGGAACAGAGGTTCTTCCGCTAGTGAAACCCAGGTTTACTTATATAAATTTACTAAAGCACGGATCATAGCTGGAGCCTACAGGTCTGAATCTAAGTGAGAAAGGGTGGGTGAGTATCTGCTGAATTGCTCTGAGGGATCAAAGAAAGGATCTTTTTTCTAAGCTTATTATTCATGGATTTGATTCCTTCTTTCTTTGAGTCTAGCTAGCCAGTATTCTGAAACATCAACTTGTATTAATTAGACAAGTTTTTGTAGAACTCTAGGCTAAATTTATGAATAATTTGAAAAGCTAATAAAAATCACAGGTTGTATTGGAGAATGCCTAAAACAGTGAAACTGGGGTAAGTATGGTTCAGTGACCTGAAAGGTAGTGTAAGAGAGGGAAATAGGGGGATGGAAATGCTTAAAATATACATGAAATGTACTGACTTTGGAGACCACTACGAAGTGGCTCTGAGCAGGATGTAAATTTACTAATTGGCTTTCTATGTTTATCTGTGAGTCTGTCCTAGGCCTCGGCCCCTGCCGGGTGGTGGGAGCTAATTCATAGTAAGTGAACCTTTGTGAATCACTGGTCCTGGCTGAGGCCTGTAGTGGCCTGTGAGGCCAGAGACACCTCAAAGGGCAGGATAAGGCCACAGCTGCAGACACTTGGCTCCAACACTAATTAATAGATAGAGGATGCAGCTGAAGGGATTTTATTCCTACCGTCGCACTCCTACCATAAATGTCCTCCTGGACATAAGGTGGTTCTCCTAAATTGGCATAATTTACCACCTGGAGAAGTCTTTGCAGTGACTCCCAAGGTTTTGCTCATTTCCCGCTTTCCTCAGGTTCCCTGCTCTTTTGTTTTGGATCTAATAAATATAGGTGGTCCAGAAAATCTTTGTCTTAGCCCTCAGAGTCCCGAGCTCAGCTAAAAGGTTTTGAGCCTCCTGGAGCCCTGAAATCACACCATTTGCCTCATTTTATTTAAGCCTTCACCATACACTCATTTGGGAGACAGGGGATCTAGGTCAGGACCCGATAATGATCACCACATTTTGCAAATTAAACAGACATTGATAATGAAAGGAAACCTGAATGAACAAATCTTTTCTGTACCACATACAGCCGCAAACATGCTAGCTTCTTTAAGGTACACAGCTTCAGCAGTCACCCTGAAGGGCTCTGCTTCATCGGCAGAGGGAATGATGAACAGACCACCGAGAAGGGAGAGCCTTCACGGCTCTCACGGAAACCCAGTATGTCTTAGTTACTTTACCTCACTGCTGAGACAACATACTCAACACCTAAACCTGAGGCAGCGGAGGATTTTGCCCACAGTTGGCAGGCTCCCTGCACACCCAGGCCTGCATCTTTTGAGACAGGGATTTCACATAGGAAGCTCGCTCACGACACAGCCTTGGGAACGGTGAGCCATCGATGCAGGACTGACATGATACACACAGCCTCCGAAACCACTCACAGTGACACCCCCCTCCCCACCAGGCTTTGCCCCCAACATCACACCCAGCTCTAAACCCACGGGAGGACTGATCCAGGATCACCCCATGAGCCATGCACCCCACCACCATCCCACCATATCCACATGATGTGATGGGAGAACATCTGGATTGAAAACATAGCAAAACCCCAGGACAAGCTACTCAATGTCACAGGGCCAGTTCACATAATGTAACACAGTGCATAGAAATGTCCCCAGTGAGTTCACTTTATGACCACGAAGAAGAGCTGAGTGTGGCCAAGGCTGAAGAACATGTGCTTAGCTTGTGTCACCATGTGACACAGAAGAGGAGGCAGATGACGTAGATAAACTTTGATAAGTTGGATAAGCAAGGAAAAGCCTTGACTGTCACATGGAGTATCATTTTAGAGATATGGAAGGGAGACTGTAAGTGCGGGGCTGTGTGTGGCGGGCGCTCATGGCAGGCAGCACCCACACTAGCAGATTCCCCAGCACCGTGAGCAGGGGCAGCTCAAGGAGCCTGGCAGGAGCTGCCACACGAAGGCTAAGGAGCCAAAGAGGACGCACGGAGGTCAGGTGACATCGTCCTGACCAAGTGTGGCTGTTTTGGCCACTGGGATCCAAACAATGGTGAAAACTTAAGCTGTGGCACAGCTCAAAGGACACCTTTGCTGTGTGCCACTGAACAACTTGCTGAACCTCACAGGCCTTTTCAGCATCTATTTGGAAAACACCTGTTAGCATTCACATGGTGAAGAACTGTATCCAGCTAGAATGCAGCAACTAGTTGGGGTTATTCACACTGACAACAGGAAGGGGCATGCAGCTGGACTCATGGTGGACAGGAGGACGAGTGGATTATACACACCACACCGTGCCTGTGTTCTGGCAAACCTGCTCTTGAATTGGGCTGCTTTATAAAATGCTTTCCCTGAGAGCCTTTCTTTTCTTAATGACTTAAGAGTATACTGACTTACATTTATTTTATATCAATATGATTGTTATTCACTTCAGACACTAACCTTTCTAATATATAGGAAACGTAGGGAACGGGAAAGGGCCCTACACATTTGCAAACACAGTTTCTAAAACATCTAAAGTGAGAGAATTTCAATTTCAATGTCAGCATTGCAAATTTTGCGCGAGTTTTGCTAGATAACAGGCACAAAATTAAAGTTGTATGGAACTGAATTATGAGAAAGCACAATGGCGCAGAGGTATATGTGAAAACATTTAGCTCAATACACAGGTAGACGATTCACGTTGGGAATTTTGGCACTTCAGAAATACAAAGGCTGGGGCTGGAGGTTTAGCTCAGCAGTATAAGCGCCTGCCTTGCAAGCAGGCAGTCGTGAGTTCGATCCCCAGTACCGATAAAAAGGAAAAACACACACACATAAAAAAAAAAAAGAAAGAAAGAAAGAAATACAAAGGCTTCCTTTTTCTTCTAATGCACTTACCGTTCAGCAGATACATTCAGAACGTTCACAAAATACAGATTAAACAGCCAACTCTTACCACCTTTGTATACCTCATGTATTTTTCCCTACATGTGAGGTGGAAAAAATCCCGAAGCTTAATCATGTAACGTGTGCTTGATCTATGAACTACTGTTCCATTCCACCCACGTGCTTTTGGTACAAAGCACATTATCAATGCATGCAGTATTTCAAGAGCAAATAGAGAAATTAATTTAGACATTTAGAATTAGGTAATAATTTTTGCCTAAAATGCTAAAGTTTGCCAAATATGTTTATTGCTCTTACACAGCATGAATACATGCTTAGCTTCTTCAAAAATATGCAACCAATATTCAAAGAAAGAGGATTAAATGCATTGAAAATGAGAAAACATACTGAATGGTTATAAGAAGAAAGGTAAAATAGCAAAACAGCATGAAAATGAAAAATAATTATGACTGCCCAGGATTTCTAAATGTTCATAAAAGCGTGCCCCTGGGTGCCCCTGGCAGGTCATGTCATCTGACCTTCTGCTCCTGTGAATACAGGTGCAATCACTGTGCCTAACAAAGACATAATGCACTCAGAGACCTAAACATACAACAGGATTAAGATTTATTGAATTTTATCCTATAGATAAATTCTTGCACATACAGAAATTTTCAAATCAGATACTAAAGAAGGAGGATGCTGGAAAATCAAAGAAACTATCAAACAACTGCAGGACCACAGTGAAGCCCCGCCACACATTCAGCTTACTGAAGGTTTCCAATGATTCCTGGAAACTATTAATATATTGCTTAAGACGAAATGTTGCTCCACATGCAATACCTGGCTGGGGATTCAGCTCAATGGTACAAGCACCTGCCCAGCAGAGAGGGTGCGAGTTCAATCTCCAGCACCGATACAAACAAACACACAAACAACCAAAAAAACTGAAAGGAAACAAACAACAAAATGCAAAATATATATGCCAATTCCACATGATCATGGTATATACTATAAGCAAACACTAATAAAGAGTGTCATAAAAGTAAGATACACTCAGCCAGGCACGGTCTCACATGTACATAATCCAAGAAAAAAAGTTCAGAAAATCCTACTGCACATGTTAACAGCTTACTCATATTAAACTCAAAACAGGTTAAGTATTTACAAGGAAAGGGGGATACAGAAACACTACTCCTATGCAGGCAGATTTTCAATATGCAACAAGGCATTACCCATTAAAACATAAGGTGACAACACAGAGTAGTTTTTCCAGTTGGCAGGTAGCTAACTGATAAAATGGGTGTCTAGGCTGTGTCAGGTTCGAGGGTCAGTGGACCCTAACACACGTGCATGTGTGTGTACACGCAGGACTACATCATGGAGGCTGAGTTTACATACGAAAGAGAAGTATGAATCTGCATGAGAAACTTACCATAAAATTCACCACAATAAACAAGGAAAAACCTCATCAGATTATTTGAAGCTTGTCAGAAGCATACTTTAAAAAACTCAATTTAAACTCACTGTTACTTAAAGGCTTCCACAGAAGAAAAATTCACTGAAACTTCTTACCTAGATGAAAGACCCGCGGCACAGGTCTAGCCCCGGGTTAGTGAAGGAAGGCGCTATTTAGGCGCTATGTTAAATCCAGAAATAGGATTGGTCACTGTCTCATTATTCAGTCACAGGAGAACTAAATTAACATGTGGTATTATTCAGCAATAAATGAAATTGGCAACATCAGCATTGAGGTAAAAGAGAGAATCTTACTATTTATAAATGATGCATGAATCAACATGCAATATTTTAGCAAAATAACAACAGAATCATGCTGGCAAACAGATCATCAACTGGAAAAAAATTAGTATTTCTCATGATCTTAACATTTACTGCAACTATGTCCATTTGATACAGCTAAGCTATTCACATCAAAAGCTAAATTCTGAAGAACTAGCTCTGAATCACCGAGACTCAAAACAATGCACAATAAACACAAAGAAACCTGCTGGTCTCTTTAAATGTAAATAATGCAAGTTAGGCATATCAATATACATCGAAATATTAAGAAGAACCCATTTAGATTAGAAAGTGCTGGCAAGATCTGACATGACATGATGTAATTCTCTGATGCTGTCAGAAAATGTAACACACAGCTGACTTCACACCGCACTACGTGGACTCAGGTCTACAGCAGCTGCAGACCTGCGGGCCTACGCGTCAATAATGCGCAGCATCGTTCAGAGATTCTGTTTACAGTTCTATGTCCTCCAATGTCTGTGCTATGGCAGACTTCGGTCTGTGACACAGAAAGGTCAGGACACTCTCCTTGGGCAAAGCTTTGGGTAACTGTACTGTCTTTCCAGGCTACAGGTAAAAATGCGCTCCTTGCATCCCAGGTTTAGGAGATCCTCATCCGCAACCACAATGAAGCTTGATTCAGCCAGTTTCTGTGCGCCTCCTTTCCTGTCTTTCTGCACGGCTTCACATGTTCAGTTTTTACGTTCAGCTACTAAGAACTATGACTACTGATTCCCCAGCCAAAGCTGTCCACTGTCTGGTGTTAAAAAGTATCACTGTATTCAAGACTTACCAGGGAATGGATTTAAACCGTAAATATTTTATAAGCTCATTTTATCTACTCACTCAGGGTCAAAGGCAAAAGACAGTGGGAGATATTTTCACACACTCAAGACCCAAAGAATCCAGCTGAGCCTGGATCCCACGGCAGTGTGCACCCCGAGGCCAGGTGGGACCCAGAGCCCACGACAGTGTGTCATGCAAGTCTGCATCAAGGGTCTGCACTGGGAAGGCCCACGGGTCAGCGGTGGAAGCGACACAGCCTGAGCAGTGGGATGAGAGCTCTGCCCTGCAGCCAGGAAACAAAAGTGTCCAGGGTGGCACCGAGAGCGGTGAACACACATGAAGACAACTGTCTCACACAGACTTATACTAAAGACAGATGATCAAAAGGATATGACAGTTTTGGGAACTGGGGATTTAGCTCAGCGGTATAAGCACCTGCCTTGAAAGCAGGCAGTCGTGAGTTTGATCCCCAATACCGATAAAAAGGAAAAAGATCAAAATTTAAAAAAAAAAAAAAAAAAAAAAAGGATATGACAGTTTTAAGATCCCAGTTGCGGAAACGGGAAAATTTCACTTAAAAAAACTGTACTGTACAACTAATCTAAAAGGTGCAGATATCGACCACCAGAAGAATTCCAGGATTTCTTTCTAACTGGCTGTAAAACATTCTCAAGTGGAAGCTATTACATCCTGGATATAAACAGCAGTGAACAGCTGATAGCATTTAACTTAAGCCTTGTGGACTCGGCAAGCAGAAGTGATTTAAAGACTCCCACCAGAGCAGGGCCCGATGATCACATCCCCGCCAGGGCTGAAGCAGGATGGCAGGGGAGGGACTCCGCATGTGAGACGCAGTGAGATCCCCATCGAGACTTCATCTTGACACTGCTGCTGCTGCCGCCGCCATGAAGTGTTTCTAACAGCGGACGCAGCTGAGAGTCAACGTCCCAGATTCAAGGCGAAAGACTCGTGCAGTGGCAGGCAGTGCTATCACCCTAATTACTCATTTCTTTTCCTTTGGTACTGGGATCAAGCTCATGTCCTGCACTTGCCAGGTAGGCGCGTATGCCGCTGAGCTAATCTCCAGCCCCTCCCCGAATTATTTAAACCCACAACAAACCCAGCCACAATCCTGTCAATTCCAATTTCGCCTCACGTATACTTAGGTAACAGATTCACAGAAGGTTTACTAATCTAACATTTCTAAAATCTCTTGTTTTGACATCTCTGATACTGGACTTGGTTTACTGTCATACTAAAATAGTGCAGCTTCAGACGTAACTCTTTTCTACTTTAAGTGCATTTGAAATTGCACACTCCGCCGTCTCCTCCCATCCCACGTCCTACCCCCTTCTGTACTCCACCCGGACCTAAACCTGTTTATACATAACGTTTAAATGCAGGCGGACCACACATGGTGCTTGAGCCCCACAGCCGTACTCCTTTATGAAGAGCTACTCAGTAAGCATTTCATCATGTAAACAGTCTCTACAAACTACTCAAGACCGTACGGATCACGTAACACCGGGTCTCTTCCATGCACGCACAAAGGATATGTGCACGAGGAAGGTACAGTTCAAACAGAGCGTCGCTGCTGGGAACGTGCAGCCCTTTAGAGAGCTGTCATTTGGAGGATTACTGCATTTCTTCTTCAAAAACCAGTAGTTTCTCCTCCCATGTCTCAGCGTTCTAACACACTAGGGGAGACTTCCTTTTCTTCTTACTGTTTTCAAAGTTGTGAATTTAACCGTGAAATTTAGCTTGAAGGCCACTTAACCACTGAGACTCATTACCAGCAATGGTAAATATTTTTTCAGATTTTCTCACATATTATTAACACCAAAAATGACTTACCACGTGAAAAAGTAGTAAGAGTACAGGCCTCTAGTGTCATCACAATGAAGACCAGGACCGAAGACACGACTTGTGGGTCTGAGACTCTACTGCAAACATGGATTAAACTTAGCAACAGGGGTGTCTCCCCCAATTTCCTGTTACCGGGACAAAATACCCCATACCCACAAAATAAAGCAGAAGACTTTATGGCTCACAATTTCTGTCCAGGATGAGCTGGGAATAAGGCAGACAGAGAATGACAAAAGCATGATGGAAGGAAGGTGCCAGGAAGCAGAGAGAAGAGGGAGAAGGAGGAGGCCAGGACACACTTTTCCCCGTCACACGCGAGTGGCCCACTTCCATCCAGGCCCAGATCCTCACAGCACACTCTGCTGAGCACATCAATGGATGAGTGCACTGCTGAGCGTGTGGCCCCACAATCAAAACACGTAAGAGACATCTGGGGGACATTTGAGATCCAAACCACCACACCAAGGCTATTGTGGGAGAAAAATCACAGGACACCCAGAATGTCACAGGTCCACACAGATGAGTCAGAAATCTTTCTGCCACCTGTGATGTCACTGTACATTTTGCAGAGAAGCGTGGCTGCAGGCCCTGATGACCTAAGTTACAACTCTGGCTATGTTGAAATCACCTTCCTGGGATAGCACAGACTAATGAGGTCCTGGACGCTGGCACATCCTCAGCCTGAGGGCCAGGAAGGACCAAGCTTGTAGCTTCAGCAGTGGCCATGTAGGAACAAAGACACCACAGCTGATAGAGACCCAAGTCCTGCCACAGCTGGTTCAGTTCAGGCATCAAAATTAACTCCTACAAAACGCCTAGCATCAACTGGAAATCAGAATCTGAGGACTCAGCGAGGGAAATGGCCGAAATACAAGCTTCTCTACAGTCCTTTTGGTAACAGCTTGGGGGGGAAGAAACGACAATCTTATCAGCATATTAAAAATACTCTAATACTCTCAATTGGCAACTGCTTCAAAATTCTGAAGAGTTTTGACCAGTAACACTGCTTGGTGATGTCACCGTGAAGCCGCAAAGAGCATCTGAAACACATCTGAGCCAAGGCTGGCGGGAGTTAGATGAAGTCTGAGAGATGAACTAGAAGGAAGAACCTGCTCCCCAGCAGCGTGATTATGGGGAGCTTTTCCACGCTCGTGTTAAACTGAACGAAATAACTTAATGTCAGCATCAGAGGAGAAAACAGCAAATTAAGAAGAAAGTCTCAAGGAAGCCACTAAAATATGAAAGAACAAGTAAAAACAATCCAGCAGCTACCAGGCAACACTGAGAAGACCAATCAGCGCGAATCAGAGGTAAAGAAAAGTTAGAAGAATTATCAGCATAGTTATAGAAATTATCCCAATTTTCCAAATATGGCGAAAGACCAAAATGCAAGCGAGGTTTCTAGAACACTGAACAAGTGTGATGAAAAATGTTCAGTAAGATAAAGCCTTTCCAAATAGCCAACAAAGAGTTTTCAAAGGCATCACAGAAAAACAATACATTTTATGTGAAGATAAACCCATCTGATGAATGTCATGCTCTACAAATGATTTTACACAGAGTTCAACAAATAAATCTATAGATGTTGCTTGAGTTTTCAAAGCAAAATATTGTGATCAACCCAAAGGAAGATGAAAAGAAAATGTAACGAAAATGCATACAATACAATCAGTTAATTAAACTACATTGTCAAGCTTGTATCCAGCTACTCAAAGCACATCCTTTGATCTGTATTTGGGGAAATTTACATACATGTACATAAATTCGTAATAAAATACTAAATATCTCACGAACATTATGGAATACAATGCATGGTATGGTATTCACTGGTAAGTCACCTGGAGTGTCCAGTTGCTGACAGAGCACTGACCCGTGACTGCTGCCCACCATCGTGAGCAGGTACTGTACTAGTGAGAGAAGCAAGTAACTTACAAAATTGTAAGATTTATGTGAATCAGAGTTCGGTTTTTTTTTTTTTTTTTTTTTTTTTTTTTTTTTTTTGTACTACAGGTTTAACTCACAACCTCACGCATGCTAGCCTGGAAGAAAGTTCATTTACTCAGTATTAAAACAGGGCTTTCCTGCACTGTGCAGGCTGAGCCTGAGGTTGCAAGGTTCCTGTCTCAGGCTGTCAAGCAGCGGGGATGAAAGCTGTGCACCACCAACCTCACTGATCTTTCCTCTTTCCAGCGACTAAATCTCAGTAAATCATAGTGACTAGAAAACCCCGAACTTCCCCTGACAAAAGTCACATGCGTGTTTTCTCAGCGGTGAAGGAGTGGGACACAACATCTTAAGCCTTCCCTAGGCTGCGCAACTGAGAAACTTCAGAGCTCAAAAATTAAAAAAGAACCGGGTGACAGGTAGCTCAGAGCCAAATTCCTGAGTTCATTCCTGCTCTCCCCACACCGCTGAGGCGCTGCTGGGCCACACCGGACGGCACCGTGGGCGGGCAGTGTCACGGTGGGGACCGACTCACGGGACACGGCGGTGACCCGGACCCCGCCGAGGGAACAGTGGCAAAAGCCCCAGAGCCCGGAGGACCTCGGGGTCCGGAGCTCGGCGGGAGGCTGCGGCTCCCAGAGCCGGTTCCGGCCGCCTCCTCTCAGACCTCAGCCCGACCCCATCCCTTCCCCGGCTTCCGTCCCGCACCATCACCATTGCGCGGCTTCCCGGTGTCCCCGAGTCCTTCCCACGTAGTCCGCAGCTGGAATAAGTCCCAGAAGGCGGGCTGGCGAACTGAGGGACTCGCAGCTCTGAGATCAGGCCGGGGAGCCATGACACCGGAAGTCCCACCCACCTCGGCTCACCTGATTGGACAGTTCGTGCAATGGCCTCTTCCTGGTGATTGGCTCCTGCTCCTCAGCCCTTCTGACCAGAGTAACGAGAAAGGACAACATCATTTCCGTCCCCTTGGACAAGCTTCATATCTCACCCAGAGTCACAGATATCCCTGAATATTGAATCTGAATCTATTAAAAAGGCGTGAGGGTAAGAATGTTTCTACAAGTGACCTCCCTCTATGTCCCCTGGTCACTTCTGGTGATGAGGCAGAGATGTGTTAGTACCTAGAAAGCAGCTCTATGTGCCCAGCGGTTTCCTGTTCCGATGGCGAAATTCTGCCCTTACATCACTGGTATTCCTAGAAGAGAAACTTCACATGCAATCGTGTGATGCTCTTATTATAACTGGATTGGCCTGAGTGATTTATAGGATACTTGTAAAGAACTTTCTGGGTGTCTGGGTAAGGCACTGTCATATCACCTGATGGAAAATCTGACCCTACTTTCTCATTTCTGGCTCACATCCGGAGTCAAACTCAGGACCTTGCGCTTGCCAGGCAGGCGCCCTAGTCAGGGCTTGTATTTGTGCAAAAGGTTAGGAACGCGCCCAGCAACGAGGCAGCAGCTGCACAAACCACTCCGACAAATGGACTAATTAAGGCCCACCACATAGGAAGCAGCTACATTTAAACTCATTGGCTGAATTTAAAGACTTTCAATGGATCTGGGTTGATAATCACAGGCACAAAGGAGGGTTGGGTCATTGTGGGTCAGAGAAAGCCAACAGTGGGGCTGGAAGGGAAAGTCCTCAGCTCTTACCTTGGAAACCAGTGTGTTCTAGGAAGCAGTAAACAGTCACCATTTCTTGAATCTGAGAATATTAACATTAAGGAGTGGGGATGAGTAGACGCCCTGTTATTTGAATCTAAAATGGAATTAGCGTGGCTTTGTGCTTTGACTAAAACACAAAGGCTCCTTCTCACAAACCTGCACAGTTGCTGGGACTGCAGACATGCAGCACCTCGAGCAGCTTACGAGTTCTCCATCTATGTCAAGTCGTTTTCAATCTCCTATTTCCTGCTAAGTAAGAGATGGGTGAACCATTAGCGCCACCTCCCCACCTCCCCACGATTCTCTCCAGGGCTCCAGGCATTGGAGTGACGCAGGTCCCCTCCCAACTGGCTTGTTTCCATAACTATCTCGGTGATAGCTCGGTTTTATTTCTTCCTTTAGACTCTAGTATTCTTCCTCCCCAGGCCAGAATCTCCAATGCGGTATCGAGGAGGGGTGGGAAGAGCAGACTACCTTGCTTTCTTATTGTAGACAACATTCATTCAGTCTTTTACCATTAAGTGCGGTGTTCGTAGGATTCTTGTAGATCCCTTTTCTTTCTTTCTTTTTTTTTTTTTTTCCTCTTTTTATCGGTACCAGGGATCGAACTCACGACCGCCTGCTTGCAAGGCAGGTGCTTATGTCGCTGAGCTAAATCCCCAGCCCCCTAGATCCCTTTTCAAACAATATGGATGTTTCCCTTTATTTTTCATTTGATGAATTTTCATCATAAATGTTAGAAAATTTTCCCAGTGCTTTTTCTATGTCCTCTAAGAGAATTATCTGTTACTTCTTTAGGTTTCTTAAAATGCCATTCAGTGCACAGTGCATGCAGAGCTGGGACTGTAGGTGGTTAAAGGAATTTCCCACTAGTCAGAGGACACAGAAGAGGAGGAATCAGTACAGCACAAGAGAGCAGCAGACGTGGCCAAGAGAAGTTCAACCCTCAGGATGAAACGCTAAGAAGTTTGTATTTGATTATAATGTGATGAAGTCAGCTTTCAGCGTCTCTGTCCTAGGAACACTTGCATCAGGTCACAGCGGTCCTAGCAGATATTGTTTGAAGACTGACATGGATTTTTGTTTGACAGGGTCCTGTTCCCTTGGCCTTGCTACAAGCAGCATTTCTTGGCAAAATCAAGAAATATATAAAGATGGATGAGTCTGTGCTGCAGAGGATCAGAATAACACATATGTGTATATATTTTGTCACATTATATTAGGATCCAGGAGAGATGGTATCAAGATATTTTATGCAACTAGATGAGCTAACAGTGCCTGCCTCGGGGCTGGAGGTTTAGCTCAGCGGCATAAGCACCTGCCTTGCAAGCAGGCAGTCGTGAGTTCGATCCCCGGTACCGATAAAAAGGAAAAAGACAACAAAACAAACAAACAAACAAAAAAAAAACAGTGCATGCCTCGCTTTTGTGTGTAGCCTCCAAGGAAGAAATCTGATGCTTTACGGCTAGCTCAGCCCTCAGCTTCAGAGTGGCCTCTAAAGAAACACTGGTAGAGAAATCAAGATTCTACACTGTTATGGTTTGATAACTAGTGGTCAACTTAATGCCAGCTGGATTACATCAGCATGCATTGAGAGAAGATGCTCCACCTGAGGAGGGTTGTCAGGATAAATAGGTGGAGAAAAAGAGAGGTGTTGGGAGGGATTGAGGCATTAAGGAGGCATTATGGGTTCTCCTACGAGTTGCTGTCTGAGCTGTTGGTTCTCCTGGAGAAGCTTTGGTCCTCACATCGAGCATTGCTTCCTGGCTCCGGAGGGGAAGACATGTGCTGCTTGGTCTCCAGGATAAACTCGTCACGCTGGCTTCCTGGCACGTACCTGACTGTGCTTGTCACTGGAGGAGCTCAGGGCCTCCGTGTCGCTGAGGACAGCTGTGGTGCCTTTTAGGACAGCCCCGCTCTTTGTTGTGAGTGTGACTTCTCGGCTCCAATGTAAAACCCTCATCCCACCAGCACAGCTCCTTCATCCTGCTGGCATAGACTTTCTGGCTTCCACCGCTGACCCTTGGGTCTTCCCGTCACGAATCCGTAAAAGAGACTGACGAGTCCTTCTTGTCACGAATCCGTAAAAGAGACTGACGAGTCCTTCTTGTGGGCTCTGGACTTCCAGTTGGACTCATGGAGGCGTTGTCCTGAGCTCTGGGTTTTTATCTCATGTGGGACATTGCCATGGGGTTGACCTAATAATCTATGTCGTTGGTGTTGCGGATAGATTTCCTGCATTCTCCTGTGTTAACTTCCGGTGACCATTATAAAAATATTATAAACTCCATGTCCTGATCTGAATTGTTCTCTGTGTACAACCCCTGACTACAACATACACCATGTGGAAACTCCACTAATTGGCTTTCAAATGCTGAGCTACCTTATGGTCTCAGGAGAGTTCCCATTTAATCATGTATATTTTTCACAATGCTACACTCAGTTTTTTAAATTTTAAGAGTTTTGGCATCAATTTTCTAGAAGGATATTGGTCTGAAGTTTAATTTTGCGGGAACTTTTTGGCTTTTTAAAAAATCCGGATCATGGTGTACAAGTCATGCTGGATTTGAGCTCACCATGCAGCGCGGGGTTTCTCAAACTCAAAGCAGATTCTCCTGCTTCAGCCTCTTAAAGTTCTGAAATTACAGGACTGGGCCACCACAACTACCTATTTGTCTTTATTTTTAAAATCTGAGACATATTGACTTAGAAGGATAAGTTGGAGAATATTTCTTCCTCTTAAACATTCTATAAGACTTTTTGTAAAACTGGTTTGATTTTTTTATTTAAATGTTTGGTGAGGTTCTCGAGTGAAACCATTGAAGCCTGCAGTTGGGGAGGTCTTCCTCATTTAATTTATTTATTAGGTATATTGCTTTTCAGCATACCAGTTTTTTATGTGAACTTTATTATTTTATATCTTTTAGGAAATATGTCCATTTTATCCCAGTTATTGAACTTACGGGACTTCAGTTGTTTGTAATCTTCCTCCTCCCCTTGATCTTTTAAAGTCTCTGCAATCATTAGTGCTGTCTCCATTGTCAGTGTTTAAACACACTCTATCGTTGGCATGGAAAATGGTTTCTACAACGTGAATCCCCCAAACTTCATTCAGATTTCTTTTGTGACTCAGACGATGCGTCTGTCTTTGAAAATATATGAAGGATACAATTGTGGAAGAGGACGGGGAAGAGTACAGAAATAAAAGGGTGAAATTAATGGAAATATTCACAAATTAAAAAGAAAATATTCTTCTATGTGCAGCTAAAACCAGTGAACGTGGTCCTGCTGTTTTTGAGCAATGACTTGTAATGTTTTCTATCAGTTTTAAAACGGAGCTTGTGGGGTGCTCATGTCTGTAGTGCCAGCACTTGGGAGGTTCTGGAAAGAGGATCACCTGGATTTCAAGGCCAGCCAGGGCTACGCAGTGGGTTCAGTGCCAGCCTGAACTATATACCAAGACCCTGCTTCGAAAAAAAGAAAGAAATTCAATAGCAACAGCAAAATAAGGACGGGATGACGAAGTCCTCATTCTGGTTCTGTGTGTTTCCGTGTCATCTCTGTCAGACTCCATCCTTCCCTTCCATTCTTTCATTTCTTAGATTTTTCAGACCCAAAAATGTCGAGGCTATTAGGAGCTCTTGATGGCCTGACATCTTCCTCATGTCGTGACTTTTATTTCTAGAAAGTCTTTCTCTGAGAGCCACTATGCCTTTCACTAACACGACCCCTCCACCGCCTTGATTAGTGTCCGCATCCAGACTTTTAGCTACACTTGTGTTTTCATAATCAAGTGGATTCTTGATCCGCCCTGCGGACCAGTTTGTGGGTCTCACCTGGGTCTCACCTGGAGAGGGGATCGGGGATGGGGGCAGGGCAAGAGAAAAGAGAGATGGAGACAGGATGCGATTCCAATCGAGTCTCATTTATTTTCAAAATGGCTACAACTTATATAGGGTGGGGGGCGGGCCAAAGGCAGGAAGAGGGCACAGAGTGTTATCTGATAGGTCACCATCACATCCGGATATATGACGTAAGCAGGAGGGGATTATGGGTAATGTAGGTGGACATGAGGATCATGGGAAATGTAGGCTGACACACAAAATGCCCTCAGGCAAGAGGGGCAGGGCAGCAGCAGCTATTCAAAGCTGCTCCCTACAGATTCTCTCTACGTAAATATGGAAAGAATCATGAAATACATGGAATGCAGCATTCAGCAAGCATTACAATCGAATTGTTCATCCAAAAACAATGATGGCGAGTTAATAGATATTCCTCCTTTAATGACGGAGTTGTAGTCCTGTGACTGGTCATACTCTGAAGTGTGGCTGCTAGGGTCGGAACTCCACATCGTGTGTACCTGTCCCTACTCAGAACAAACACAGCCCTACAGAACCCCCGCTTGGTGACTGAGCTTCATTTGCCTAACTTTGCCACGTGGTACTGTGAGGTAAAAGAGAATGTACCACACTGCTCTGTACAGCACAATCAACAAAAAAGACACCCTAAAAACAGGTGTACAGAGCTGTGTTAGAAGGAGACAGCCATAAGCCAATTTAGTGGGCGTCAGTCTGAACAGCGCCTTTCATCCAGACAGCCGTCGCACAGGTGGATCGTGACCAGGGACTGTCTGCAGTCGGCACCAAAGTAGGCAGATGTTTGAAGGGAAACAGGTCATTCTATATGGGTCAGAGAAGCTCCCGATGATGCTTATTAATTCCAGAGCGGAAAATAGAGACCGTATTGTCACACAGCACAATAAACAAGGGATTGGTGTGATTACACAGTCCTGGGAGTTAGTGCACTATGTGTTCTCTCACCGCACGTGGGGAAGGCACTTTGTCCCTTCTGTGTCCTTGGCAAGATGCATAACCGTACTGCCATGAGGGCGAGCTGCATAGACCAAGGAGGATGCTCTATCAAAAGGTAAAGAAGGACCCAAAAACTTTGAGACTGGAGGAAGCGTAGGGGCCAGGACAGTCACAAATAATGTGGGGTCACAGCTTGGATTCTGGCACAGTAAAGGGTCCTTCATGGGCTAAAAAGTGAAATCCAAATGGGCTCTTCCATGCGGGGCAGTGTTCTATACATGTCAGTTTCCAAATGTTAATTATTCTTTTTGGTCATAGTTACAAGTAGGAGCCAGCAGAATGGTTTATGAGAAATTGACATTCGGGCCAGAGATTTATCTCAGTGGCACAAGCGCCTACCTGGCAAGCGCAAGGTCACAAATTCCATCTCTGGTACGCAGCCCCACACACTCAAAAAAGAAAGAAGGAAAGAAAAGAAATTGACACTTATTTTTACATGATTTCTCTGACTAAAATTTGAAATGCAAAATGTAAGATGAGATTAATATTTTTGGGTGTTTCACACAGGCATATTTTTTTCTAAGTATCTGGGATACTTCTGGTCTATTGTAATAATTTCAGTCTATGATTGATTAATACAGGTTTAATATGTTTATTGACTGAAGTGTAACAAGGCTATCACAAAGCTATTTATTCGTTCTCTCTGCTCTGTTTGTTTTTCCTGTTTGTCACTGGATTAATAATTTGCTTTCATTGCCAATTTTTCCTTATGTTATTGATGCAAGAGTGGACCAAACCAAGCCTGCCACCTGGTTTTGGACATACGGTTTTGTTGGAATTCCATCTGTGTTTACAGACTGTGTATGTCTGCCTTCAACTTTCACTTGCAGAGTTGAAGAGGAGAAGACATCCGTGTTCTAGCTTCAAAGGCCGGGTAAATCCATCTGACCCCTCGTGGAAACAGTTTGCTGATTTCTGCTCAGCTCTACGAGCCTCTAGGTTTTAGTGTTCCAAACCGTCCATATCACTGCCAGGATCCTGCCCCAGTCACAAACTCCTGCGTCTGCGGTGGGAGGGTGGGGCTCCATGCAGGGGAGAGCGGGGCTGCACCAGGCACAGCAGCTCCGGCCTGCGGGCTCTTCCACGCACGCTGTCTCCCCCGCTGCCTTCCGGCTCTGCACAGACCTCATACACTGCTTGACGCTGTGCCATGCAGGGTCTGCATGGCATCTTGTGACCTCCCACTGGGTGGATGGAGTCCATTTTCAAAAGACAAACAGCATTAGAGGGACCCAGTGGCATTTCCAGGTCCTGTATTTCTCATCAGTGGCAGTGGCAGACCCAGGGATGCATGAGGCACTCTGTGTCCCCAGCCCCAGGATCACAGAGCTCTGGACACTCTGCAGGCAGCCACTGTGTGTGTCCACGTGAGCCACGCAGCAGACATAGCATTCCCACCCAGCCAGCCTCACCAAACTAGGTCTGTACCAATGACGTCGGCACAGGACTATAAAGGACAGTGTTCGTTTTGAATATCAATAAATCATCACTTTTCAAAGAATTGATAATTTTCTGTCAGCTTTCAAGTTTCACTATCCCTTCCTCAAGTAATTAGGCATTGAAAACTCCAATACTAATTTTCACTGTGTGCATATGTGTCTGTGCCTCGGGGTCATGCAGGCAAATTTGAATAGAAAGTGAAATTTAATTAGCTCGGCTTATTATTAAATGTTAGTTAAACATTTTAGTAAAATCACGTTAACAGTGCCCCCTAAGGCACCATGGTAAGCCTGGCTTAGACGGCGAGGGGGCTGAGGAAGGCGGTTTAGAGGCTGAGGTGAGGTCTTGCAGAGGGTCTGAGGTTGCCGGCTACACGGTGAGTTGCAGGCCGTCCTGAGCTACACGGCAAGACCCTGGCTCAGAACGTACTAAAAAGACAATGTGGACATAAAGAGCTTTTTCAAACTGGCTTATTATGTACAAGCAGAGAGTGCACCTCTCAGTGCATGCTGCTGTGACTCTAGCAGTGGGTGACACCCTCGGCCCTGGGGTGAGGGCAGCAGTGGACCGAGGAAGGGCAGGAGAGAGGTGTCGCAGGGGAGCTTCCTGTGACAGCACACCCTGCTGCTCCTGCCCGCCTCTCCCTCCTCCTGCCCAGCCAGGCCTCCCGCTGTCCTTGGCGCACTGAGCTCCCTCGAGCCCCGTGTCCTCAGTGTCCTCAGTGCCCACTTCTGTGCATCTCTTGTCTGAGGGACCCTGTTCTGAGAGTTTCTCGCCGGCCGGTTCTCTGTGACCACAGTGCTCCCTCCCTGAAGGCCTCAGGAACGGCTGTCCTGTCCAGCTCTGCGGCCTCCAGGTCTGGCCCGTGTGTCCTCACTTGCTGAGTCAGCCTTGCCGATCGCCCGGCGTGGGCCTGTGCGGTGATGATTCTCCACTGGGAAACGGGACACACGGACACCGGGAATGTGGCCTGCTCCGC